GAGAGAGAGAGAGAGAGAGAGAGAGAGAGAGAGAGAGAGAGAGAGAGAGATGAGGTTGATGATGTGAGGGCACATACCTGGTCTTGGCGATGGTCTACAAGGGTCGACATCTTCATGTACTTCGGCTCTGCTGCTGACGTCAACTGGATGCATTGTCAATTCGTAGGCTGCTAGTAGGCTGTGTGATCATAGGCTGGGCGCTGAGTGCTAAGTAGGAGGAAGGACTCTGGATACATATGTTGGTGGTGGCGAGAGTATGCTCTCATTGACATTCGGACTCAGTGCTTTGGTTCTCCATTGGTGGAATATCAGTGCATTTCTGCTTTCTGGACAGCGTTGCTCTTGCTGGCTTTCAATGTGATTTTTGCACTCTGGATTTCTGTCATTCCGCTATAGCTCATTTTCCTCGCAGAATAATGTTTGCACCCCCCCCCCCCCTCCTCCTTAACCCTGAACCTAGGCTACCAGAGTGGCCTGAGACCACTTGCCCAGCTGGGGCCAAATAAATAAATCAATAACTTGACAATAAGTATTAAATAAGTTGTTGTTTAAACTTTAAAATTTAACTTTTAATATTTATGTTTAATTTGGTTGAAGCTTTTGGTATGACCCTGAGGCAAAGGTTGTTGAGTTTATTTTTCTGCATAACATAGTTTTTTTTTTTCGTTTTTTTTTCTTTTTCTTTTTTGATGGGACCTTCCCCGGTTTCTGCTCGGCCGGGACGCCCGGGGAACCAAGGTGACCTTGGCGGCCTAGTTGGTAGTCTAGCTCTGAAAGGAGTGCAAAACAAATATGAAAACTATTAAATAATAAATTTTAAAAATTAAAAGCAAAACAATTATTTTAATTTATTTACCATTTGCAGTATTTCTCTGAGTTCTCACGAGATTCCTACATCTTGATGTTTGGATATTATCCAGCTCAACTTTTTTTTTTTTTTTTTTTTAATGATCCAGCTCAACCTTGTGGATACACCAGGAACAAATGTGATCTTGCAACGTCAGCAGCGGCTGACGGAGGAGTTTGTACCAAGAGCGGACCTGGTTCTGTTTGTTCTCAGTGCAGACAGGCCTCTCACCGAGAGCGAGGTACGTAGATAGATGGACTACTTCCTGCATCTGCTGCTCATCTTCGTTCCCTCTCTCTCTCTCTCTCTCTCTCTCTCTCTCTCTCTCTCTCTCTCTCTCTCTCTCTCTCTCTCTCTCTCTCTCTCTCTCTCTCTCT